TTAAACTACTTCCACTAATCCTGATACCGAGCAGGTACATAGAATTCCCTATAAACTTATACTTATCGACGATTATTTAATATAGCTTTTAATCTAGGTCCGTTATCGATCTTCCGTTCTATTTTCCAGTACGATAACAGTTAAAATTTTACTTTTGCGTAAAAGAAATTCGATTCACTAATTATAAATGCTTATTCAGATGTTTTGACTTTCGGTTACAACTTCTTACATTATACTTTAACCGAAATTACTCCAAACGCCAACATTTCCCGCTTACTAAAAGAGACATTCGTAAGCCAAAGCTCGAAGTCAATTGTAAAAACTTTCAAATGTGTTTGAGCGTGAAACCATATCCGGATAACACGAATTGTTTTCCCCTCGCATTATCACGATTCAACTTCAATCGAAAAGCACATTGCCACACCGTGAACCAACACGAAGTACAATATTTTATTCGAACCGGTTTCGTTGCGTAAACAGCGTCATACATCATCTAACTGTTCTAGTATGGTCATAACGTCTAAATGTTAAATACAATACAATGATAATCGTAATTACAGGTCAGGAGTCTTGGTGGCTCAACATTATGTAAACGCAATGTACGGGCTCACGTGTTCCACCTCGCACCAAGTTATATTCAAACAATAATGGCGATTAATCCGATTAACTAGTTATTTATCAGTAGAGCGCGGATTTGTATGCATCTGCATATTTATTCTGGTTGATCATATCACAGATTAAATAAAGTTTTATTTAATGTGTGATCATATGATATGCTGAGTAAGCACAACATTTGTTTCATAACATAACAATTTAAAAAATTTGAACATTTTAGTGCATATATTTATGCATATTTATGGTATTTTTAGCGCATATTTGGTTGGTTTTTAATGCACATAAATCCACGCTTTATTTATCAGTATATTATTATTGGTAGCGAAGTCCGTACACTATAGTTGATACTCGCCCACTAATTTATAAGAACATCCTGTCCATGAGCACCTACAACGGGTGGTTTCTTAAACCAAATCACTTAAGCCGTGTTGTACCACCATCGCCTATTATGAATAATAATTACAGATTGTAAATTCATTGATAAATTTAAAAAAAAAAATGTACACGGACCGATGATCTTTTATTCTATCAATTGATGACGATATTTTTATAAACACATATAATATTATTCATACGCAAATGCACGTTTTTATAACGTTATAAGTAAAACGTTAAACTATTCAAAAAACGATTGAAATTGATAACAGATAACATATTGGTAAATGATAAACGATGAAAAGGGATAACGGATAACATATTGGTAAATGATAAACGATTGAAAACGGATAATGGATAACGAAACCGAAACGAACAACGATTAAAATTAATATCGAATAACGTAACAGAAAATGATTGAAACATAAAAGAAATTTACATGGAAAAATATTTATAAATATTAATAAAATAAATTTAAAACATATTTTTTTATTTTTTTTTTATTTTTTAATTTGCCTTTGTTCGCACTTTACAGCAAAAGGAACATAGTTATTTTTATTAAATTGACTTAAATTACTAGGTAATTTAAATAAAATAAATATAAAAGGATGTTTAAAACAGCAATAAACTTATCAACTATAATCAATAAAATAATAAAATATAAATAAGCATTATCAATTATAATTTATAAATATGCTTTTTGAAATTAGGTCGGATATTTTTGGCCTGAGTATATCTGCCATATCATTAATAATTTCGGTGAACACCGATGAAATATTAGTAATACACCGTACATAAATTATAAATTGACAATACATATATATTTTACTTGATAGGTACCAAGTTTTATTGTAGTTGTACAACAAATATGATTACTTTATTTATAAGTTATGAGAATTACAAAAAGAAACTATCGTTAAAGGCAGGGGTGTATTGGTACGTATACGCGTATACGGCGTATACCCATCAGCAGATTTTCGATTTTCGGCGTACACCTTTATATTATTTTACAGGAATACACTTCTTAAATAACTCGAAAACAAAAAAAATATTAATTTAATTGTTCATCAAAATAATAATCCAATGCAATAAGGTAAAATATGAATTCAATTTTTGTTTTCATTTTTTATTAATGTGGGTATTTATACTTTAGAGAGTGAAGATAAAGAATGTTAAATCGCGACAAAGACGACAAAATATTTTAAAAGCTTTTTCATACTTTTTTTAATACCATATTAATTAATGATTATTTTTACACTTATAATACATTTCACATATTTGTACATAATTTTAAACAACATTTTAAGTACTATAATTACATTATAATACATTATAATTTATAACGTTTAAATGTCCCATAACGGTAAACAATATGTATTATTTAGATTTAAGCCCTGTGCAAATGTACGTATTGCAGTTACTAGCTTGTTAGTATGATATTTACATAAATTTAATTTGGATTATTTAACATTTGTTTCTGTTACAATTTATTTTAATAATAATTAAAATTACACTTGAGTAGTTGTTTTAAAAAATAAAAAATAGACTATCGACTTAACGGTTTTTTAATGTGAAAACCTAAATGCGTTAGGTATAAATAATATTAAAATAAAATTAATACAGATTAAGAAAAAACGAGAAATGTCCATTCATTGATGAAAAAATTAAAAAGCATTCAAAGTGAAAATATACTTTCATAAACTACTCGAAGTTGACAGGACTAAAACTTTAAAAATCATTTTATATATAATCCTATCTGACTGAGGAATTAATTTGCTTAAGTAAATATATATATTGCTTATATGAAAAATCATTAAATAATCGTTTTAAAAAAAAAAAAAAATTTAACACTTTAAAGCACTTTAATTTATAGTGTTAATAACGTTTAATTGATATAAAAATAATTGTTTAAGAGGTATTAAAGAATAAATAAATTAAGGTTAGTTAATAATAAATTATGGCAAATCATTATATCGATTAAGAGTGAAATTAATGAACGCTTAAAACAGGAAATACTAAAATAATGGTAAATGTAAACATGTTACTAACAGTTTTTGTCATTCTAATTTTAAAAAAAAATTCAGTATGTAATGAAAATATCTTACTAGTAAATTAACGTTTCAATATTTATTATTTATTTGAAATTTACATTAGAATAAATAATATACGCAATAATATACACAATGTGTTAACTTGTATATTATGTTATCTAAACTTTAGGAGTTTGTAAAAATATATTATTTTATATAATTTATTGAAATTAATTTTTTTTACGTATAGAGTAAATTTTAAGGTAATTATGATTTTAGTAATGCAACTAATGAGTTATTGAGATTGAAAGAAAAATATATATATAATATTTACTTAATACTGATAACATCAATACATCAAGTGGATAGAATCAAGTATAGAATGAAAGCAAAATGTACATCATAAAATTGAAAAAAAAATTACAATATAGAAAAAAGAATCAACATTTTACATTTAAAAATAGTTGCACATTGTTTCATAAACCTTATAGTTTAATAATAATAAATTATGATTTGCTGTAATATGTATTATAATATTTAACTATGCACCTTCTTTTTACTATAGCATATTGTAGTTTAATCTTTTATATTACAATGTAATGTAATCAGACTATCGGTAATATATCGAACTGAAAAATTAACATTTGCTTTGTAAATTGTAAATAAAGTACACACCTATTCATAAAAGTTACTGAATACAAAATTATTACCAAGTCAAATTATACGCTGACAATAATAAAACTTACTAAACTTATTTTTTCGACTATTTATAAAAAAACGAACGTATACATATTATTAATTTTATAATTTATTACTGAAATCAAAAAATACCTGTTAACTTTAGTACATAATAAAAAAAAAAAAAAATTAAAGAATTTTGTTAGTGTACACTAATACCTTGAGTTCGTTTAAAAAAAAAAAAAACTAAATATTATTACTCAATACATTGCGCTTTTAGTGAAATTACAAAACTATATCATAGAGCAAAAGTATTCTTTTTTCTAAAGAACTTTGTATCGATAAAATTTGCTTTTGACCTACATATAATCAGATATTCATCATATTCATGTAAAACCAACAACTTATACTATACCAAGATGTTATACTTATTTTGTAAGATTTATTCTATAAACAATTTACAAATTATATTCTCATACATTGTACTGTCCAAGGTGTTGAATGGATATGTATGGAAATCAACATTAAATTTGCTTTAAATGAAATATCTTGTTGGCGGTTATTTTTTTATGTTGAAATGGTTCTAGAAATGTTTTGATCTTTTTTTAAATTGAAATAAAATGTTGTTAATATACAAATTATCAGTATTATGTGTTATCAGCATTTTAAAACAACTTTATAAGCATTTTGTGTTCTGAACACAAAATAACTATCGTGAATTAACATAAAAATTAAAATAATTAGTCGCAGCAAGGTGCACAGTCCAACTTAACCATCGGGGTATAAAGGGAAATTTTAAAATCTTTATGGCCGGTTTGGTAGCTTTTATAGGTGATTGTGCAAGATATATTTTTCTTTTTTTTTTACTGTAAAGAACTCCGCCTGTTTGTTTTTCTCATTTTGTATTATTTTTAATTTTTATTTATTTATTTTTTTTTTTTTAGTTAATCCACGTAAACGCTTTTTCATGTCGGAAGAGTTACTTGAAAAATGTGAATTTTTGATTTTTTCAGTAGTTATTCCAAAGCCGTAAGAAAAACAGGTTTAGTCATCTAGAATAGAAAACGTTACTTCGAAAACGGTATGTCACTGGTCATTTTGACGATACGTGTTTTGTTTCTGTTAATACTTGTAGATGTTGTTGGAACATTTTATGTGAACAATAATATTATAAGCTTACGCTTCATTATTTTTGGTTTGGATTATATTTTGAAAAAAATTAAAACGTAATATAAGATTAAAAATTAGAATGTTTTCAAGAAAAAAACAATGAAATAATAATTATAATAATAAACGCTACACTAGATTATTTACATAAAAAAAGAAAAAAAATTCTAATGATATAGCTTACAATAAAATATTTTTTTCTATACATAATAGTAGGCACGTTTTCTATAACACACAACAAATGATATTATTCGAAGGTATTATGAGTAGGTGGTTGGCTGCCGGGTCGGTTATTGTCCAGCGCCAGCACGTAAGTCAGCGGCAACTCGTTTCCGGCCTGGTCGTAGTCCACCCGATACAAGTTCCGGATGCCCTGGGCGGCCAAGAACTGACGCTGCTGCTCGTTAAGCTCGACCGGTGTGGGCACGGGTCGGTTGCGGTTTTGAAGCTGAAGTTGGTCAAGGCCCTCATGCGGTGGAACAACCGTAGTAACCTTGGTCACCGCCGGTTTGCTGTTAGTCCGGTGCACGTGCTTCCGCTCGACCGACTTGTCGTTGGCGACGGCGATCTGCGCGCTGGCCTGTTCCAGTACCCTGAGCTCGGCACTGCTCAGCGACTTGAGCTCGTGCGGGAACTGCAACAGCTGCAACTGATTCTTGTCCGCCAAGTACTTGGAGCCCACGGCCCGGTTGCCACCCTTCGGCTTCTGGTTGGTCCTGCTGCTGCTGCCCCCAGTTCTGGGCGCGGTAACAACCTGCACGGTTTGCTGTTTTTCAAGCTGTTGCTGTTGCTCGAGCTGTTGCTGTTGAAGCCGACTCAGCAGTGATGAGAGAAAATTGTCCGGTTCAACTTCAGACGACTGTTGCTGCTGCTCCTGCTGCTCCTGCTGCTGTTTTTGCTGTCGCTGTTGTTGTTGAGCTCTGTTTCCGGCTTTCCGGCCTTCGTGTCTAGGCCTCTGATTGACCACCGGCTTCTTTGGCCTGGGTATCACTATCATCGGCTCCTCCTCCTCCGCTAGACTCGTGGCAGCAGTCGTGGACGAGTCGCTGACTACGGCACCGGAATCGATCGGCTGGTAGTGGTGATTTTTTCGCGGTATCTGCACCACCGGTTCGGTTTCCTCGGTCGGTTTGTATATCTGTCCGTTTGGCTGAATGTAGACCACGTTCTGCAGCAGCTGCGTGTTGAACTGCGCCATCGGATTGACCACGGTCGCCGGACGGTCGATGGTCTGCTGGGAAATGGGCTCCGGTTGCACAATATTCACCCTCGGCCTGGGAACGGATCTTTGGCCTTTCGGTTGGCTGACTACCGGTTTGTTCCGTTCGGGCGTCGGTCCAAAGTGGACCTCAGCGTATGAAAACGGCTCGGTGCCTTCCGCCGGTACTGCGTTCTTTACACGTCTCGGTGCCGTCGCGAAATCCTGTTGCTGAGGCTCAGCGAACACCGGTCGTTGGGGTGCCGTGAAATCCTGTTGCTGGGGCTCGGCGAACACCGGTTGTGGGGGTGCTGCGAAGTCATTTTGTTGCACTACGGCAAAGTCCTGCTGTTGCCCGACGAAATCTTGCTGCTGCTGCAAGACGAAGTCCTGCTGCTGCTGCTGCTGCCCGATAAAGTCCTGTTGCCTTGGTAAGAAGTTCTGTTGACGCACTTGTCCGTTGGGATCTACGAACCGTAGCGGTTGCTGTGGTCGGGGTGCAGATGACGGTTGAACGGGCAACTGAGTCGCAGGCAGTGATTGAGCCAATTGCCTTTGCTGTGCTCTGAGCAACGCGGTTTGCTGTTCGACTAGAGTTCTCCTCGCGTACTCTTCTTGAAACCGCTTTTGCTGGACCGCGAACGGCGATAGGGTGGTCGTGGTCGTCGGCGGAAAAACTCCCGACAGCGATCTGTACACGAAACACGACCAGAATAAAATCTCGGCAATGTCACGTAACACAAACACGTGGTAGACGATGGATACGCCCCGAGTCGGCAAATGAAGTAAAATAGGTGACCGTCGTAAACTAGCGTGACCATATAAAAAAATAAAAAAAACTGGGACAGCTGTTAATTTCCCCCCCCCCCCCCCCAAAAAAAACCCTCATCCATATACATTCAAATATATGCACACAAATCTCGAGAGTTAAAGTCCAAATCTCTGTCATATCATAAACAGTCATTTTCTTTTAAATATTATTAAATAATATTTTCCCTTAATTATTCATTAAACAACACATTGTAACATTTCAAAACTATTATATTTTTTAAAATATAATATGGAAATAACGGGATTAAAACGGAACAATTTTCTAAAAACGGGATAAGAAGCGTCCCATTCGAAGTTTGTCGGGACAACGGGACGTGATGATCAAAAAAGGAACAATCCTGTTTTAAATTGTTCAACCTATCGTATACCTTACCACGGCCACGCCATTGTGCACGCTCGGAATGTGATGCGTTTCAGTAGTTCGGTTGCCTATAGTATAATTTTCGACGACTCGGTCTTTCCGCCCCTTACCGTATACCGTGTTAAAATTATTGGTATAGTTACCCAGGTACGAAAGCTGGCCGTTGCACGTTATTTTGTTGCCCGGACTGTTGTACGCTGCTCGCCGTCGAATCTGTTTGTTGGATGAAATCGAAATATTCCTGTGGAATCTATGGAAAATCACAATTTTTTTTACTAATGACTAACCGTAGGCATTCGAAAATCTCTTACCTGTTGCTGATCGAAATTGCTGTTTTGGAAATCAACCTGTCTTTTCGAAACAGCCGGTTCATTTATTAATGTAACTTTTTCTATTTCCTGGACGTTATTGTCTGTTGTTACGAACAATGCATCTGAAATACAATTACTATTTAGTTCACATTGAACGATTTCGAAAAAGTCGTTTTATTTAAATTTAGCGCACGATGGATGAAAAAGAAACTAATCAATTGAATAATTCAAATAATTAAATAATAATTAATAAAAATTTAAATAATTATTATTTAATTAAAAAAAAAAAAAATAAGCAAATAAATAATCAATAAAACGATATGAAATACGTTCGGAGCATAAATAGTTGTTACGTAGACAGAAATCTCAGATGAACATGTGTATTTAAATGATAGACTAAATGATGAGTACTCGTATTTTATAAAATGTGACTTTTGAAAACTTGAAAGTTTTCAAGTACCTTAGCCTGTGATAAAATTTTATGTTCAGCGATACAATCGGGATAATGTGGTCCACTAACGAAGATCAGTTACATCATGATGGCTTAGGACCAACCATTTTATGTTTGACGAATTCGATTCCCTAATAAAATGTCTGTATCTAAGCGGAACAAGATGGCTGTAATCGAACGAGAGTTACCGGTTTAAATATTGGTCATCGGTGGTTTTACTTTCTGGATCGCGCTGACAGAAAAAACAGTCATCCTTTCCTCCCATAACCGAATACACCCTAAAACAACCTACCGACTATCTATCGTTACTGTCGAACCAAATATCAACCACATTCAATGGCTAGTGATGTCACAAATCAAAAATAATTCAATAAACAAATATTATAATTTACTTCGTAATATTCATAGATACCAAATACTAGATAATAAATATTTGTGGTGTACGTTGCGTGTGTATTATGAAGTTGAATTCTAAAAACGGTCTATCCATTTCAAAACTACTTTCAAATAATGTATCAGACGGATTGTTTATGTTAATTTATTTTGTATGATGCGGTTACTAATATTTAGATTGAAATTAATTTATGCACGCGATTATTTTATATTTTATAAAACATGTTATGTGCGTTGAATTCATTTGTTGGTGTTGCAATAGATTAAATAATCGTAAATAAATTCGATACATGGTCTGATTATGAACTATTTAAAATATTAAGACTTGTTTTTTTGATCACATTATAAAAACTTTAGAATATAGTTCAGCCAACAGCTTTTTTTATTGCTGCTGAATAATGTCGAGTAACCTATAATACATTTTGTGAAGCATATTTATACATAAAAGGAAATTGTTAACTGGTTAGCTATCCCTCTAATCATGCGTAAGAAAGTGGAGCAGCTGAAATCGTTTTAGTTGAACATAAGAAATGATAATTAAAATATATTTCTTCAAAAATAAAATTATCTAACTATAATTTTTTCAAACTATTTTTCGTTAAACGTTAAAATTGAAAAGCTAAATTTTTAAAGCTTATTTAATTCAAATCCGGATAGATTTTAATTAATACCAACATTAATTCTATAAGTTTTGGTTTCTGTAAATAGAATTCAATTGAATTCGAATTCGTTGTTTTGTTGTAAAGGTCAATTAAGTACTAAGTACCTATTTTATATTACAATACAAATCAGTTCTCTTCCATGAAACCATTATTTCATTTGAAACGTAGAATACAATTTAAACTGATCTCAAACGAAACATTATTTTCTGTTGATAATAATTGTATTTAGATATCAAAGACATTGTTTGTATTACATAATATATTTTTAAATTAAATGTACCCACTATCGATCAAATGCGACTAAAGCTAGTAACCGTTAAGAAAAATAAAAAAATAAATGAAAAGAAAGGTCGGTAAAAAAAAAAAAAAACAATTCGTTTACACTTATTCTATTTCACCGCCTACCGAATTTCTCAACGGACTTTATTGTTATTCTTCATATTTTTACGATTTATTTATTTTTCCAACAAAACGGTAGACCTGCAAAGAGCAATATATATATTCATTTCTTTTTAAATATTATTACGCTATGGTTTGACGTCTCGTTCCCCAGAACATCAAATACGTGAACATCATTAGTCGGTTTGCATCGTTGGAAACTATTTGCTCGGTAACCTTTTTTTTTCGTACGCACTTCTCGTGATTTATTTTCTAAGTACTTGAATTTAACGATATTATACTGATCTCCAGAAAATCAGATCTATTCGATGGTCATAATTTTGTCACCTGAGGTTAGTCACCCAGTTTTGTTTCAGTTTGATTATAACCGCGCTCACGCATGGAACTAAATTATCCTGTCACACTATAACGCATAAGATTTGAACGCGAAATCGAACGATTTGTGACAAAACATAAATTAGTTGATCGAACTGATCGATTGCATGTGAGCTTATCGTCTTTGAACGCTGTGGAAGTCACTGATGCGATTAAACCGTTGCGCAACTAAAAATCGCATGTCAGCGACCAGCCTGGGAGATAAAAATGTTAACTCAACACAAGGTTTGAGCTGTGTTTCTATTACAATTCTCCACCCCTCCCTCCAATTGTCATAATTGAGCAATATATACCCAACTCGCAGTTACATGTGTGATGGAATTACGCCATTGTCCGGATCGTGCGAAAAGACATTTTTCCTGTGCACGAGCAAGTTAATACGCAAACGTAGTCCATGAGCTAAATTATACTTTGGCGTATATTAAACGCGTACCACTCGTCGTATCTATTTCGCCGATAATATAGTGACAATAATTTTGTCGGGCTACGTCGGTCGTTCGACAGGAAAATCAAAATCGTCCGTTTCGTTAGGGTAGGAACTAATAAAATTGAGATTCAGTAAACGTGTGCCGTGTTAGCTATACGCATTATTTATACAATGTAGAATAAAAATAATCGGAATTTCAAATCGTTATTATTTTGGTTTTTAATTCGGTGTGTTTCTAACGAGACTTCTTGGCCTTTTTCACTTACGCGCGTTGATTTTGAATACTATGGAGGTACACAATCCTAACCCTAATAATAACGTACAAGTACTTCCATCGTGTATCAAACGTGTACGTTTATAGGTCATGGGTGTTTTCAGAATTACCTTTTTAAGGTGGGTGCTTACACTGTGGGTGGATTGAGTACACGGCAGAACACACGTTGTTTTACTGTCCCCCGTGGGCTGGCCAACAGAAAGTAGCGCAGAGGGTGATTGGCAGGACATAACGTTCGGAGGACAATTCGGTCTTTCGACCAAATGGAAGTGACTGTTACGGATGAAAAGGAGAAGCTAGACCGGGAGCGCTAACGGAGCGGACATCAGGATGTGAGGAATTTCGGAACTCGGGGGCCTAAATAAAATACACTGCGAGGACGATCGGATGCCGGGCATGTTACGACGATGACGTATTAAATGTCAATTAGACGACGAGAAGCCGGGATGCAGATATGTGAAAATAAATCCCTCCCGGTCTTTCGATTAAACCCGGGGAGGGGAGGGTAGAAGAAAAAAGCAAACCTGTACTCAGAAAGAACGGTGTACACCGTTCTCGTTCATTACAATGTATCCGATGACGACGGCTAACGGTTGCACAACGAAAACGAAACGCTCACGAACGTTTTTGTTAATTGGTGTGCGAATACGGAGCGAAGTTTGCCAACGGTCTCACAACAACACACGAGTGCACAACAATCGGACGGGTTCAGCAAACCGTATAGCGATTTTCACGAACCGGTTTTATTTATTTTTTTAATATTTATTTATTTTTTTAGTTTTCGGTCTTGCCTTTTCACGGACCTTGTAACGCACGGGCGCCGGCGTGTAGTTCTTCGTGCATTGCATATCGTTTTTCGTTTCTGTTATACTTTTTTTTTTTTTTTACTCGCATCGCACTGATTGCCCACTCGCGTAACGCACGTACAATCTTCGACTCGGCATTCGTCACGCGAAACCAGTCGCGTGACAGTGACACACTGTCGGCCGGTGCGCAACGCGGTCCACTCGGTTAGCCGTTACGCTCGTTCTGGTGCGGACCCGACCCGGTTGTCGTCGATCACGGTGTTTTTTTTATTTTTCATTCCACTTTTTATCGATCCGGCGAGGGGACAGGACACCGGTGGTCAGCGGGCCAAGGTGCTGATCGCTATCGGTACGAGCGCGTACACCGTTTTTTTCCTGATCATCCCCTCCAGACATTCGTTCAGTCATTGTCCAGAAGTCCGTTTGGTTAGGTACCACCGTAGGGATTTTGGTTCGCGTGAGGACGGAGAACGCGTCCCTCTAAACGTTCACCGTATCCGGTCAAGAGTTTTTCCAATGAAAAACACGTTTTGCGTTACGAAATGAAAACCGTAACCGGTCGGACGGAGAGTAGTTAGGCTTTAGGGCGCCCATCCTGTTGTGCAACCGGACATTAGAGGACCATTAGAGCAAGGGGTCACGTTTGGAATTATGAAACACGTTCGGATGCCATCAAAAAGTCCAAACCAAACATTTTCAACGTGTTATGTTATGATGGCAAACATTCATGCGGAGTCTCAACGACGTTTAATATTGAAAAGTGTATACTGTCTGGTGACAAATCAAACTGGCAAGGCCACCAAGTGGTCCGGTAAAATATAACGATAAAACTCCGTCCACTCGGGTGAAAACTGTCCATTTTCGAATTCAAATCATCCTCTTTTCCTGTCTACGATCAAATGAAAACAAAATAATCACCGTGTACGAATCAACACAAAGCGAGTAACAACGTAGTGCAACGGAAATTTAAGTCGACGCAGGTCGGTGGTAATCGACGGACTGGAATCGGCACATTCTGTAGACAGTCACCTAACCAATCTTTAAGATGTACTCACTGATCATAAGACCTTTTCCCAACAAAACGGTATCGACCGTATAGTTAAGATCGGTACGAATTACTTCCCAGATGGATGTTGTTTTCATACGCTGCGATTTTTCCCCTTGAACCATCTGCGTTTGGACATGTTTCGTTTTTAAACGTTCAACTCGGTTGGCTTTCAACACGAAATGAAAACGCACCATTCCCATGTGGTTTTCGTGTTGTCATTTGCGATTACTTCGAAAATGACGTAACAATCGCATGCACCGGTTACGCCCCAACTATCAATGAACACACACACTTCTTCCCGAGAATTTTCAGTTCCATTTATATCTTTGTAAAGATCTTAAGACTTATCCCATTGGATATTTCTTCGTTCCGCAGCAGAGATTAACGATTCTGTATCGAAATATCCACGTCCTCGTATAACGAGGAGCAAAAACGAGCTAATAACTTCGACAATGGACGGCGGACGGATAAAAATCGTCTTTCGTAAAAGCGTGCACCTAATTTGCGTAGACCGCCGATAAGACGACGACCGCACGGAAAAAATCCGTCCGCCGTCCCAGGCGAAAGCCGCAAATAATTTCGTGTGTTTACCACCAATTGAAATTCGTACAAATGATGCCACCATATCAAGGGCGTATTTTAGGAGGGAGGGCGATATATCATTGAGATAATAGTTGATACGTACACTAGTCATGTGCAGGGTTCGGGACTTATAGCATTTGCATACTTTTTTTTATTTATTGTCAAATGTAGCAGATTGAGAAATAAATTCATTTTTCAATGCCGTGTTACCAAATTTCAAATTTGCATGTGCATATTTTTGCATATTTCATAGATTTTACAAAAGAATGCATATTTTGGAAAAATATTCAAAATTTCAACTTTACAAATTTCAACCCATCTAAAGAAAAAAATGGTAATGCGATTTTTTGTGTGCCTATATGTTATATACAACTCAAAACTTTTGTGATTAATAGATATGATGGCCCGTAGTGCCCATATTGCAACATAATATTATATATTTTTATAATATGTAGCGATACGAGCGATTCGATAATTATATAATATAATGTGTTTATAAAACGTTCTGTAAAATTAAAGGTAAGAAGTATAAATGTAAACTAATTTATTTATTGATTTAAATGACAAATTTAATTTTTCCATTATTATATAATCAACGAATAAAACTAAAAAAAAAACTCGGAAATTCAAGAAACAAGTTAATAATCAGTTGATTTTTTTTTTTATACACTAATTGACAATTGTAATTAATAATTATTAATAAAATAATAAATTAATAAACATATTAAATGCATATTTTTATGCATATTATAAGGTTTTTAAGTGTATATTTTGGCACTTACTATTGTGTTTTTAAGTGCTATAAGTCCCGTGCAGGTCCTGTGTTTCAACGCGTTGATTGTAAAAACACATGACTAGTGTACGTTTTAACTAATATCTCAATTCCATAAAATAGGTGACCGTGACGTTTCTGCAATCATCGATTCAAATATATATATATATATAATATGTTTACCTAACCTAAGTATTAACTTATTTACATAATTTATTTTTGTATACATATTTATAGAATTTAATTCACCACATTTTTCAATTGCTTACTGTTTGTTTTATTTTTACTCTATTAATACGTACTCCAAAACTCCAAAACATTGTAAATCATATAGTGTATAAAACGTGTTTTTACTAAATATATCGTTGATGTATGCAACATTGTAGTGGCTATCAAACACTTGTGATATTGATAGGAATTTGATTTTTAAAATACCATTCATAAGCTTGATGTTTATATGAAAAAAAAAACACCGAGGGTAATAACATTCATATTACGTCTATAAAATGTAACCAAATAACAGAAACCGATGAAAAAAGTAAACAGTTTATACGTGCATTAAATTGTTTGTATTTATATTGAAAAGTCCACTTATCACTATGCGGCCATTACACAATACAAACATTAAAAGCTTAAAATAAATAAATATATGCTATATATTTTAATTTCTATTTCAAAGTAAATTATAAATAAATAAATTTTCAAAACATAAAATAAGTAGATTATATAAAACCGGACCAAAGGAAAATTATTTATTCAGCTGAACAATGCTTTCGAAAAAATCATTTTTCTCTCTCGTCGAAATTGGCTCATACTCATGGATACCTACTATATTTTTGTTTTGGACCATTGTGTACATACTATTTATAACATTGTTTGTTTATTTATTTATCTCTATGAATCTAAAATTCAAAAACTCAAAAACGTATTATTATTTTCTAGTATTTTTATTCCAAAATTACTAAATACAGTTTACACGATGTACATTACACTTTTTTTATTATCTTGGGGAATACGAGATTTTCACTACAATTTTTTCTATCTATCCGACTTCATTTCCAATGGATATCGATCTCTTTCGAACCTCTATTTTACGTTACCGAATAATCATTAAATTTAAATTTCTCCTATTTGGCCGTAGTACGAACGCGCAATTTTATATCCAATCAAATCTAGGATTAGATTTATAACGATTATGATATTTAAAAAGTGATGGACAGCCGACGTTGATGCGTATTGACTTTCCAGCGCAAGGTCCGAAAATCGCACTTAAAAGGAAAATAATACAAAAAAAAAAGAAGCCCTGATCCTGATAGAACTCGATGTACAATCGCTGTAAGCCCTCGGTTGTACCGTTTTTTTTCCCATACCATCGAATAAATGATATGTGCGTGTGTGTGTAAAAGGATTCGTGTTGTTACATGGTTATATCGTTGGAACATATGTAGTATCTCATGGTATTTGTGCAGATTGTGTTACTTAAAAATATTGTACGGAAATCAGATAATAGTTAAAATTCGAAGAATACGAATCGTGCTGTTGTATTTAGTAAAACACTGGTATATAAGAGGGCCTCGTTTCTCACTTGTGATTCGTGAAGACTTGAGTAATCCGTCGTACTGCGGTCTAAACGTTTCTCGCGTAAAATTATCAAAACGTTATATTGTAATAAATAGGGCTGGCATTTGAATGCCTTAAAAACCCCCGAAAAATTCCTTAAAAAAAAAAAAATCCTTTATGACTTAAAACCTATAAATAATACCCTTAAAAAATGCACTAAACTTTTTATTTTTAATAATTTTAATATAAATAAAATTATATAAACTATAATGAAAAAATAAAAGACGGAAAAACTCACAAAATGCATTAAAAAAAATGACTAAATGAATTCAAAAAATACATTACAAGTGCATTTAGTATAGTATTAGTATAAATTAAAAAAAAAAAAGTTGTATCTAAGGCTAGATATCATAGACTTGTATTTGGTTTAATCTGAAAAACACATCATTTTTACACTCGTTATCTAAGTTTTGACGCATTTCATCAATTGTCCGTTAATATAATACGAATTACGAGCATCTACTTATAATTTATTACATTTATATAGTGCCGAATTACCCATTAGGCGGAGTAGGCGCTCGTCTTAGGTCCGCAATCATTTAAAAGGCCCCGTGAAAACGAAAAACTATATATTTTTTTTTTTTTATTTAATAATAGGTACCTATATTTTATTTACGAATTTACGAGATAAAATTCATTATTAAATATGATATATATTAAGTTGTAGATGTTATATGTAGTAATAATATTAAAATTATTTTGAAAAAAATAGAAATAATAGTTGGTTATTATTAAAGCTGTTTATTTTAATTATTATATAGTAATGTTAAAGATGTAAAAATAATGTAAAAAAAAAAATAATTTTATAGGGCTTAAAATTTTAACTACCTAGTGGCCCACAGATGTTTAATCCGGCACTGCATTTATATAAAAATCCAATGTTGATGTAAGATCTTACAATAAAATATCTAATTCGTATTTTGTTTCGAAAAACTTCAAAAATGCTCCAAAAACTCTAAAATGCCCTGAAAAATTAAGAAAATGACCTAAAAACTAAAAAATTCCAAAAAATGCAAAATAAAACTTCTCATTCTCGTTCAAAAGTACATAAAACAAATTTGTGACAAGACGAGCATCGCACGGTCAGCTTTGGAAAACAACGCACAGAGTTCATCGAAATCCCAGCCTTAGTGACGAACGAATCGTCGTCGCGTTTGTCGATCGAACCAATCGTTCGGAGCCCGTCCGACGGACTCGCTACCGCCCTGTTTATCGTTACCGGAACGGGCACACCTACCTGCGTGCAGGAAAACGGCGGTCAGCACCGCCAGGACGCGGTTGTACTCCATGTCCCGGTCGTATCGCGTAGACGGCCGTCCTGTTCGATGGGCTGAGGATCACTGTGCGCGGAGTGCGTCCGAGGAGACTTGGAGCCGGTGTACCGGTGTGTCGAAGACGCGGGTGCGGTTTTACGGCCGCCGCACGATCTCCGACCCGGCCCGGGCGCGCATTGTCCGCGATTGCGCAACGCCCGTGCCGCGAACAACCAGTTACGTTTTGCTCACGAACTCGTAAACGCGACGGAAAGTGAAAGCATAGCACACCGGTTCTCACGACGGCCGCGGCGGTGATAGGGTTAATCGAACGAAAACAACGAAACGCGCTCCCGACCGTTCGCAGCGATAACGGTTGGAACAACAACAACAACAACAACACGGAACCCCTCCCCTCTCGTGCGGTACCTTCGAGTCCTGTGTACGGATACCCGTACGTCGTAACACTACCGCGGTCGGTGACCGTACACGTGTATGTTACCTATACTCAGGGCCGTTGTGAAAGAACCCCCCCCCCGGAGGGGGGGTATCTTAAATTCGTACCGTTAATCGTGTTTAATTTTTAATAGTTTGCAGTCCCTAATTTCCGGCCCCGGGGGATCATCATCCCTTCCCACCTTCTCGTCAGGCCTGCCTATAATCGTCCGGACAGACGGGGTCGGGGTTCGAACCCTCTTCAGCGCTGTTTCATCTCGTTATTGTCTACGGTTTTTTATTTATTGTTTTCGTGCCACGAAAAACGTACGAGTTTACGAACGCTGTTCGTCAAACTACGGACGGAACACTCGTAACGTCGATCGCGCCGCGTGTAGTTTTTTCCCCTGTTGAACCCTATCCTCGGTCGACGCGTGAATCGTGCCGCGTCCGATTTATTCGTTTCCCTACGGGTTCTGCACAATATTCCGCGTTCTTGATCAATATCATGATTGGCGATGACACGATTGTACGAAACACGTGCCACGGGCGTAAAATGGGTTAAAAAAAAAAAAGTGGAATAATTTTAAAATAGCAGAACGATCCGAACGCGTTCCAATAATAATTTTTTGAATATTTTATTATGTTTCTACTTCTGTCAGCTTGCGAAACGTTACAGAAATGTTATGGGATCATATGAATACCGAATAAATCGGTTGGTTTTCACGTAGAATACACTAGATGGTTTATAGGTATAGCTATTAGATTATCATAGTTTACTAAAATATGTATGGAAAACTGTTTATTCGAATCGTTCTTATGTTTACAAAAATGTTGTATAAATAAGCTATCATGAATCAAATGTGAACATTTTTATGCGGAATTAAATTGTTCATTGCAAATAGGTAGAAGAGGTTCTTTTTTTTTATATATTTTTTTTATATATACGAGTAGACGTAGCGTTTTCATTTTTTTGCTAACAGAAATAGATTTAATGTTATTTAGACGTGAATATTTTTAAAATGTTAACATTTTTTATTTCACTATAAAAAATTACAGAAAAATATTATCGAAAAAATGAAAACACTTCATTATTACTTTATGTAATACAAACACTTCTTCGAAAGAAAAAAAAGTGACCATCAACTATGAATTTACACTGAATAGTTTTTTCCCATGTAAAATGATCTTTCTGCAAAAATACCGTAAATAAATCATTTTATTTATAGATCCACGGACACGATCACGATCACGCACGCACATGTATCTGCCCGTACCGTAACCCCTATCTTCGCCGATCTATGCACAGTTTTGAGAAACACGTATTTGAATATACACACGTTGAAAAGTATTAAAACCAGTATTCAAATACAAAAAAAAAAGTATTAAAATAAATTTATTCGAACACATTACGGGGCTAATGATCAGTACTTGAAAAATGTTCCGTCATCGTTAAAATCCGATTTCTACGCATCAATATTAAGATACAACCGTTGTATAAAACGTTTAAATTACATGCGGTTTCGTGTGATTTCCCCGAAATTAGAATACAATATCGACATTTAACTAACCGAAATTATATTGTTATTACCATTCGAGTTGCAGTCACGGTCTACGGAGACACCACATGGTCAACGGAATTCAAATGACCAAATAGAGGGAGGTAATAATTATTATGCGTACGCTGTAAATCTTCGGCGGTAGCCACTGCGCCGTATGGTTCTTGTAGTATATCGAAGAGAAAATAAGAGAAAATAACCTGTCACCGTTTAGTACTGTTAAACGAACTACTTCAGTCCTTCGAGCACTTGGGATGTGACCGTGTTCGACCTTAGTGAATCGAACACAGTGTTTTCAGCGCAATCGAACGTCCAGGTCAGATAAATTAACATTTTTCATAGGGGAAGAAAAACCACCGAAATGGTTGTTTATTTGACTTGAATGATTATCTGTACAAGACGGTACAATTGCTTTTGGCGAAAACGGAAAAGAGGATATCACACAAACATTATTACGATGCACGTTATCAACGTGTTGTAAACGCTCTGCCTATCATTGAAATCATTTTTTACACGTATGCAGTCAATATCATTGTACACAAATTTTATTTTTCGAACAACGAATGCATATTTAACCGACTTTTCTACGTCTTTTATTTTTTAATTTTTAATTTACGACGATGGTACGTAATATAATGAATAAGAAAGATTTATATTGTTTGAATTGATTCACGATTAATTTACCGTTTCGATAACTATCTTACACTGACGCGTATATTTTCACTTCAACCGCATTATTTTGTTTTCACGCTTCATCAACAACGTGGTCACAGTGGTATAAAAATTACGCGTTTAAAGATTATTCATTTAACGCACAAACACGCAAATCGTAAATTTCGATCACTGGTCTCCCCGCAGTGACGTCCAGATCATCGAATAAAACCCTTGAAGCTTTTAGTGTTTAATCTCGGCCGAAATAAAAAATATTGATCAGTGAGTATTTTTCAATAAAACCAACGTGTACCTCCTACCAGTGTGTTGATTTGAATAATGATGAGATAAAACACGTATCTTCACACAAGTTTTTACGTTGGTACTATACATTAACGATAAGTAGAAAGCGGATTTTTATTTGATTATAGAATGATAAAAATCATTCAGTTCCTTGTTTGTAATTTAGTAGATGCCTTAGGTACCAAATAGGTAATGTTGCTTACGGTTCCGTCGGACCGTAATTATACTATGGATAATAATAATGACATTTTAAGGGGCGATAATATTTATTAAAAATTCCTAGCTTAGATACCAATATGAAGAATGCAAAATTTACATCAGTTTATATAAAAATTTAACAGATAAAAGAACAAATTTAACTCTTAAAAATATGAACTGATAGACCTTGAAGTTAGATCTTAAATTTTAAGATGAATTCAATATTTATTTTATTATACATTATAGTTAACATATTTTGAAAATTTACCAATGAAATGGTCTACAACAGTTATTTATCATTTTTTTAATTTTTTTTTTTTTTATTATTATTATTATTATTATTATATTCACATACCTATGGATTAACTTTTTAAATTTAAATAATTAAATGGTACGTATACAATAAAAATATATTTCATCTTGACTTTATTAAATACCCATGTATATATTATTTAATTTTAAAACAAATTGTTTTAAAAGTCATTTTACATTTAACTTCTTGCAAATTATGTGATGTACAAAAATGAATTATTTTATTTTAGTTTATTTTATTAAACATTTACTATATATATATGTATATCGGCGTTTAAATAATTTTTCAAATAAATTATGCATGTAAATGCATATTTTGACGTGTACGGTTGATTTTCATGTTTCAGTATATTTTAAATTCATAATATGAGGTGCCATATTAATGGTAAATTTAAATATTGTAAAATATAATATAGATGAATAGAAATGCATAAATATTTTACCAATTGTAACATATCATATTTTTAGTTTATTTTACATGCGCATAGAATATAAAGAGAATATTTTAAGGCTTTTTAGCGCGTATAATTATCGTATTTTAAATATTTAAGGACCTAAAAATCTGCTTTCTTATGATAACCCACAATTTCAATACAGCTCTTCGTTGTATAGACATAATACAATAGTAGATAAATATAACCGCACTTAAATACAAACTCAGCGAAATCTTAGAAAATGTTTGGTATAACAATTAGAACGATTTTCTGTTTTATGGATGAACAATAAAACTGTATTATATAAATTATGCTTGAAATATTTGTCTGGATACATTAATCGATTAAACAGGACTAAATAAATGGTATTAATATTTAATTTTTTCCAGTATTTTAATTGCATTTAAATTATGTGATTAATTTACTGAATAAAATGTTTAATACTTTTACATTTTATAGTATTATCATATCGTTCGAGTTATTTGATTGAACACTCTTTAAAATTTTACCCTTAAAAATAATTCGCATTAATTATTATCATTTTGTATCAAAATGAAGAAAGTCTTAGTATAATTCCGCAATAAAGTTTCATACAAACCAGAAAATACTTTTTAATAATTTTCAATAAATATAAAACTTTAGTAGAAATCTAATAGACTGTAAATATATTTAGTTGAATCCTTCTAAGAAGTAAAACCAGAGCTTGCGCTAAGAAAATTTTAGAACTGCCCAACATTTTAATATTTTTGCACATGCAGATTAAATAAATTTGTTGCTCGCTAAATTCGCTTAACAACCACTGTTTAATAAACTATATTATTGTTATTATTATTATTATATTGACTAAACATGTAAACACTTTATACATTACTTTATTTATTACAATTTGTTAATAATAATAACAGATTAAAATATTATTTTTTTTTTATTTAACAAAAAACACTAAATAAAATACATAATTAAATTAAACAATATTGCATATTCCAATAATACAGAAAATTTACGATTTTGGTACTAACCAAATTAGTTTTTAGAATTGCCCATTTTAATTTAGAACCACCCATATTGGTTAGAACTACCCATTAGCGCAAGCTCTGAGTAAAACGAAAAAAAATCAACATATACCGAAAACCATTACACATTTGTGACAATTTTGTTTATTCCTAATAAACTAACCCGACAATCTGTATTACTCAAACTCGTGTTGGACATTCACGATCGACATATACTTCTAATAAATAACATAAAATAAATTAACTTGACGTCACGTCGTTAAGTAAAAATATTTCAAGTCTGACGGCTAATCTATCATTCAAGTTATAATTGGAATCCTTAGTAACCGAAGAAAGCAATTAAATTGATCAATATTTTTCTTAAGTGATAGGTTTCCCCTGTTGGTTTTTTTCGTTAAAACTAAACATCGGGTAAGTTCAACAAGATA